TTTGTGTTGACGTGTCAAAATAACTGCACGTAGTTTTACAAAGGAATCATTATTAAGGTCTTGTGTGCCTTTGATCATTACATGGGCACAATTGAGCAAAACATTAACAAACCTTGATGATACGATTCGTGTACTTATTTTTTTTACCTTAAAACTTATTTTCCGCAATAGGTAATTGCAACATATTGAAAAAGCAAATTTACTCGCGTATACTCTTACGTTGATGCTTGTTCTCATTCAGTCACACCTTACACGATAATTTTCCAAGAAGCCATGCTAAGTCTAAACACACACCTTCATCGTCAACACTTACTCGTTAATTCAAACTCCTAACTGAAGAAAATCGAGTATGGTCAACGTAAAACCCTTTCGGTTAAGACCCACCGTTGAGCAGATTCTTTTGATTATGGGTCCAGGTATGTTGAACCACTGAACACTCTAATACATCAAACTGTTTGTGCTATGATAGCCTATAAGCTTAACGCCTATTTGCTTACGAATGCAACAGTTAATTTTATATCTGTTTTTTAAACGATTTTTCAAGGTAACTTGAAAATTACTGATATGTTTCATAGTGATTATCGTCGACCAACCTTGTAACGTTGCTAAACATGTCCTAGCGTCATTGTAACCAATTTGTAGCGGCGATGTGAGGCGCGGCAGCAGCATGTCCACTACTAGGACCCCGTAGGACGGCGTGCGTTTTAACAGACGATAATGTTTCTTTGAAGGTAAAGGCTGTCGTACTCTACGAAACTCGTAAGGGTTCATTACGATATATGCTTTACGTGCAACAGTAAGCCACACAGCTATATCGAATCCATTAACTGTGTCCGAGAAAGACGAATTTATCGGTAACGCTTTTACGATAAGGCATCTAGAGGACAAAATAATATTCATTAAACAATTATTATTTTACTTCAAATTAGACAACAAAGGATAAACCCTTCAGGTTTAAATCAAAACCCATTTCCCTCATTCAGTCGAGCTCCGTCAAAATCTGCAGCAACGAATTACGACTGAGTTACACAATCTCTTCCTCTCAATTTGTGCAAAGCAATCTGTGGAACGGTTGCCAACGCTGGTAGTCACTGCGTTATTGAAGATCCAACCTCTAACCCTAGGAAACATCAAACAGAGCGCTATACATTTCCAAATATTAGTAAAAATTGTTTTGGAGACATATACCATGTATCAAAACATGTATTTACGAAGTACATCGAGTAATACAATCCGGCACTACAGATGCCATTGAAGCATCGAGACGTTCGATCACTAACTACAAAAATTCAGATCTTCACATAATCGCATCATCGATGAACTAGTTGAAGCTTGATCTACATAAATACAACCACGCGGACAAACGAGCGGAACTTTCGAACGTTGAGTTTTTTAGCTGCTTGATTAAGTGAGCCCTGCGCTTCCAGCCTTTCTATCTACCAAACACCACGGATTTTGGTATTTTATTGGTGTACACATTGTTTTACGTATGCGCCAATGAATTGTTTATAGTGCCGTAGCCTAATGCCGACACTCTTCATTTGATTTACATGCGTATGTATCAAGCCGAAATTCATTTTTTCTTTCAGTTCTATTTCTCCTGGATCGTCGGCAGAGCTTGAAATTTCTAAAAATGGCTACTCCTTTCATCAAGTAAACAAGTTGACGCTACAGATGTTTTATCTATTTACCAATGAAGAACTATTGCATGCCATGTTAACTGGCGTTAATAGTTAGTCATAGGCGCTATTCAGAGTAATGAGCTGATCTGAAGTCAACCGAGAAAAATTGACTTGTAAATTCAGTATCTGACTACACACTTGCAACTTCTACCCACTAACTAGCGGAAAGCTGGTAGAGTCTTTAAGAGAGTTTACCGCTTGGCAAGGATAGTTAGAAGTTTGACTGAAAAAGAATTAAGTTGAAAAATATTCTCGTCACATTCTACTTTCTTACTTAGTATATCTCAAGCAGCCCTTGCCTACACTAGTCTCTTCCACTATTTATAAAACTAGCACGAACTACCAGCGAAATATGCTTATGCTGCTTCGTACGAATTTTCAATTTTTCTGCCTTATTTTACGTCAATGAAAGTATTGCGTTCTACGGCGTGACATTTAACCGACTATAGTAAGTGGGTTTTGATAACGTCCTATCTTAGTTGATGCACGTAAGCCATACAGGGTAAAATTCGTTTTCACCATAGGGCGAAGAAGCGGTTGTTTACAGAGCTTAACGGACCAAACGAGCATTGTTAGTGACGATTAGTTCTGATCAAGATTGCCAAATACAAGATCAGGCCAAAATAGTAAAGCAAGTACTACTTGTCCCTCTTTTTTATTATATTGTAAACCTATCGCCTTGTACAGCCTTAAATTAACCGAATCGTTCGACTGAGACTGTATGTGTAGAAGAAGCTATAGTTAAATAGAGCTTCAATTTTAGTGATACCGGCTCATCGTTCCGTTATAGTCTTAGGCAATCATGGTATCGCATAGAAAAGCGCAAAATCGATTTGAAGTAATAGTTGCTTTTCAGGAAACTCCTACTTCTATGTATTTTGTTTCTTTTTAACAAAGCTATTTTTTTCGATACGATTTTCAGTTTTTCATTTCCCGACCTGAACTTGAATTGGTCCTGACAGAAAAACTTCTTTTATAGTCAACGAAAATGGATAGATGCATAGTGGCAGACCTTATATATAAAAAATAAATCTATAGGTTGGTATACTGTATCGCTGGGAACGCAGAGTACGGGTGATACACACTATCGTCACTAATATTATATAATATATATGACCTACAGTTTTGGAACTATATATATTTTCGAAGAACATAAACACACGACAATTGTTGAACAGAAACACACAAGTGACACAAATCAAGTCATGAAGCCAAATGATTGTTTATTTTAAAAATATGTGAACAAAATATTCTACCCTTGGCATGAAAATATTGCTAAATTGTGATGCTTTATTATAAACAACTATCTATCAAAAGCCTATAAACAACGCATTATGACTTCGTTTCAAATTAACTTTGCCATATGCACATCGGCGGATTTGAACCAAAGACGGCCCTGACATAACGGCCCGGGTTCACACACAGTCTCTCGATGAGTAAATTCGAGTATTTTGATACAAATCCAGTATATAT